CCCCCCCCTGCGCGCGGACGTGCCCCGCCCGGGGGGGAGCCGTTGTGCGGGGCAAGGATGCCCCGTCACAGCAATCAATACCTTTCTGATACAAAGGATAGTGCAGGACATAGTGAATGACAATGGGGTTCCCTAAGTGTGGTGGGGTGACAGATGGAACACACATTCTTATCTTGGCACCTGACCACTAGCCAAAGAATACATAAACTTCAAGGAGTACTTCTTGATGGTGTTGCAGGTGCTGGTGGATCACAAGGGCCACCTCACTGACATCAACATGGGATGACTGGGAAAGGTGCATAATGCGTGCATCTTTAGGAACTCTGGTCTCTTCAGAAAGGTTCAAGATGAAACTTTTTTCCTAGACTGGAAAATTACTATCAGAGGTGTTGACATGCCAATAGTGATGCTTGGAGCCCCAGCCTACCCATTGCTCCTGTGGCTCATGAAGCCATACACAGTCAGCCTCTGGACCGCAGTAAGGAGCCGTTCAACTGCAGGCTGAACAAGTCAGAATCGTGATAGAATGTGCTTTTGGATGTTTTAAAGAGAGGCTTTTGCAGTTTGACTAGGTTAGACCTCAGCTCTTAGATCTGTTGCTCTTAATGAGGTGCCCCCTGCATTAAGTGTGCTGGCCTGCAAACCCCTGTCCCCCTATAACACAAGCAATAAATATATTATTGTTGAGAAATTATGCATTTTTATTTAGGGAACACAAGAAGGCAGAGACAGAAAAGGAGCTCCATTTGCCTCTCTTGCAGTATCGGTCTCCTCCATGCATTGAATTGCGCCCTGTCTATGAGGGCAGATTGCAATTGCTCATCTCAATTACATTTTAATCTTTGGATCTGTACTAGTGGGACAGCTGAAGGAGCCAGGGGAGTGGGCAACACACTCACTGTTGCACATACTCTCTAATGAAAAATGTGAAGAGAAGACTTTAGAGGAAATACATTGTAGAACACAAAAGTTAATCTCTTAGCATGAAATAATGCCTGTCCAACACTATAGGTATATGCTGTGAACAAAGTTATGTTTTTAAACACCCACTAGGCAGCAGATACGGAACATAGATCTTAAGGGAGCAGGTGGACTCAATTTGGTGGCAGGCATGGTAAGGAAGATTGGGCCTCGCTCTTTTACTTCCTCTTTGAAAATGTATTTGATATATAGTGGCTGCAAATAGCAGCTCCCACAGGCAGGCACACATTTGCAAAGGGCGGGAGGGGGGGAGGTGTGATGGTCACAGGAGGCTATGCCAGGGATGGAGGAGGGCCGGGTGTGGTGGCAGGGCAGGGACTCAAGTGATCATCCTGTGGTCAGCACCTCATGTTTGCAGGGAGAGTGCAACTTTCTCTTCCCCCAGGAGTCTGCTGAGGAGAGGGGGCCAGGCAAGGCAGCAGGTGAGAGGCTCACGCAGTCAGCAAACCATGGGGATGAGAAAATAGAGGTGTTGCCTCAGTATTATCAGTTACAGAGCTTCCCTGCCAAGCTGGTGTGGCCCCCACAGTTGAGGACAGGGACTGCTCTGGTTGGGTTGGAGTGCCCCTGCCAGCAGCTGGCCCCACAAGGCAGAGCAGGCCCCTGCCTGCAGTGGGTTGGGAGCTGCTCCAGCTCCCAACAGTTAACTGGAACCAATAAGCCTCACTTGCTAAGGACGAGATTAACCAGTTAGCCGTTCACATCCCTGGTAGGCAGAGTAGACACCAAAGATCATACCCAGTTGCCTTATTATAGCATGATTAAACATGTGAACTCACTGGAAGTGCTTTGCTCACCATCAGGGCTCAGCAGCAATATGTCCTGAGAGGAGAGGATTGTCTCTAAAGTTTAAAAAAAGATTGTGGCTGTTGGTGAGATTGAATACTCTGTTCACCTGCTGACCATTTTCCTCCTCCTCCTCTTCCTCATCCACAATGTCCACCCCACTGTTGCCTTTGGCTGCCAGAAGAGTCTTTTGGGAGATATCCACTGGTTGGGTCCTACCCTAGAATCCCATGCAGCTGCTCATAGAAATGGCATGTTTGCAGTGTTGATCCAGGCTGTCCATTTGCTTCCTTTGTCCTTTTTCCACCGTTCTCTGTGCGATCTTGGCATAGATATCAGCCTTTCCTTTGTTGCTGTGTAGTTTAGTCTGAATAGATTGCTCTCCCCACACAGCAGTCAGGTCCAGCATCTCCTGGATGGTCCATGTGGGAGCTCGTTCGTGATCCTGGGCATTCATGGTGAGATGTGCTGCCTGCTCTGCTCACTATGCTGGGCAAATAGGAAATTTAATTTAAACTTTCCCAGAACTTTTCCTGTGCACTTGGAGAGCAGCAGTGGTGAAAGTACTGGCTAGAGCACTCACATTAGGGCACTGTAGGACACTTCCCCCAGTCCAAGAGCATTGACCTTCACAGCTCTGCATCTACAGTTCTCTGAAGTCAAACATGCAAGGTCGAATTTACTATTACTCCTCACGACAAGCATGAGTACCAAAATCAATTTTAATAGCCCTTAAAGTTAATGGAATGGGCTTGGTAGTGTGGACATTTGTTTAGAAAATCGACCTGATATAGCTAAATTTGACCTATACTCGTATTGTAGTCCAGACCTAAACTGGGGGCGGGAGAAGATAGATATGTTGGAGAATACGATAGGGTCAGAGTGACCTAGGGAAATTGGAGGATTGGGCCCAAAAAAAAAATCTGATTGGGTTCAACCAGGACACGTGCACTTAGGGTGGAAGAATCCTAAGCACTGCTACAGGCTAAGGACCAATTGACTAAGCAACAGTTCTGTAGAAAAAGACCTGGGGATTATAATAGATGAGAATGAGTCAACAGTGTGCCCTTGTAGCCAAGAAGGCTAATGGCATAGTCCACATCTGGAATACTGCATCCAACTCTCTCTCCCCCGCTCCTCCGGCCATCCAAGTGATGTGGAGAAATTGAAGGGTGTCCTTCAGAGGTCAAGAAAAAAGAGTAGGGGGCTGGAGCATATGACTTGTGAGGAGAGGCTGAGGAAACTGGGCATATTTAGTCTGCAGGGGTGTGTTTAGACTACAGGGTTTTGTCGACAAAAGTGGACTTTTGTTGACAAAACTATACCTGCGTCCACGCTGCCTTTGAGTTATGTTGACATATGTCGACAGTTTTGTTGACGTATGTAAACCTCATTTTACGAGGAATAACACCTTTTGTCAACAGAGTTCTGTCGATAGAAGGCATTATTGCATCTACACTGTCCTTTGCGTCCATGCTTTTATGTTGACAAAGTGGCTTGCTTTGTCGACAGAACTGGATTTAGTCTAGATACTCTTTGTCGACAGAAGCTTTGTCGACAGTATCTGTTGACAAAACTTCTGTCAACAAAAGCCTGTCGTCTAGACGTACCCAAAAAGAGAAGAATGAGAGAGGATTTGATAGCAGCCTTCAACTATCTGAAGACCAGTTCAAAGAGGATGGAACCAGGCTGTTGTCAGTGGTAACAGAACAAGGAGCAATGGTTTCAAGTTGCAATGGGGAGGTCTAGGTTGGATATTAGGAAAAACCTGTTTCACTAGGAAGCTGGTGAAACGCTGGAATGAATTATTTAGGAAGGTGGTGGAAACTCCATCCTTAGATTTTTAAGGCCTGTCTTGACAAAGCCCTGGGTAGGATAATTTAGTTGGGTTTAGTCCTGCTTTGAGCTGGGGATTGGACTAGAAGACTTCCAGACATCTCTTCCTGTCTTAATCAGTGATTCTATGTCTAGTCTGAAATTTATGGTCCTGTTATAACTAACTGGTAGGGTAAATCTCAATCATTTGTGGCCTGAACAAATATTCAGAAATAGTCTAGATTGGCACTTTCGAGGGTGTTCATTTTCCTTAGTGTCTTGGCAATCAATTAAGCCAAAAGAAGACCACAAAATCTAATTTAGAGATCCCTTCCTAAGTGGCAAGTACAATGGAGCAATCACTAAGTTTGATTCACTGTTGCTTTTAGGAAAAGGAAGTTACAGGTATTTGTAAACTAATTTGTACCCTAAAATTTGAACCATGTCTAAACTACATGCCTCTGCCAACAGAGACATGTAAATTAGACATACCAACATAGTCAAAGAAGCGGGGATTTAAATATCCCCCACTTCATTAAAATAAAAATGGCCGCCACGTTGTGCCAGCTCAGCTGATTGTCGGCACAACGGGGCAGTCAAGACACAGATCGGTCGATGGGGAAAGCCGTTATCGACCGATCCTGTAAACCTCATTTCACAAGGCATAAGGGATCGGTCGACAATGGCTTTCCCTGTCGACTGATCTGCGTCTTGAATGCCCCATTGTGCCCACAATCAGCTGAGCTGGCACAACGTGGTGGCCATTTTTATTTTAATGAAGCGGGGGATATTTAAATCCCCGCTTCATTAACTATGTTGGTATGTCTAATTTACATGTCTCTGTCAGCAGAGGCAGGTAGTCTAGACACACCTTTAGACAACAGGAAAAAACAAAGTTCATTAAAATGAATGCATTTCTAGTGCTAAGTGGACAATCATATACGTGCATGTGTGTAGAATATCAAAATGATGACATGACCTGGCATATAATGAAAAGTAGCAAAACACATTCTCTAGATTTCACTTTTGAGCAGGAGATTTTATTGTAAGCAAAATGTCTAATTACTCAAGTCTTGTATATCACAGAACTAATGTAGGAAGAGCATTACAGGAATGATATGAAAAGGAGAGGAAAGTGTTAGAGTTCCCATTTTAATTTTTACAGGTTTCTTTTATCTGTAGAGGGGTGTCAAAATCAGGTTTTTAGGGTCATTTTAATGTATTTTCTGTCCCTTCCTAAAAGAAACAATGTGTTCTTACTACAGAGGAAGCATGTTATGTGTTGTTTTTAAAAATTGATATATTTAAAATATGATTGTCTGCTTGGATGAGAAGCATTTGCTTGGTGAACTGATCTGGACAAGGGTGGTAACACTGGAAAGCTTGTGATCTGTAGCTGTCAAGTGTGGTTTGGGAGTTTTGATACAGCCAACCATTGTCTGTCACAACTGGCAGTATGTGCAAACTTCTTACCAAGAAGGTGAGGGGTTTTCACATAATTATCCTAAATATGCATTTTCTGGGCAAAGCTACAATTGTAGTTTCTTTTTGATTATGTCATTCCATCGAAGAAGTAATTTGATTTTTTTCTCACGACTAATATGAGCTGAAACTAATACTCTTATATCAAGGAAAGGCACCCAAACACTATTAACAGCTTGGAAACTGCAATGTAGAAACACAATTTGACATGCAGAAACAACACAATTAGGCCAGGATTTGTTTTACATGCTGTCACATGTGACAGGCTCTTTGACAATAAAAATGTGTTTGTCATAAAGTGGTGGGTCCATTGAGTTGCATTCTTCACAGTGGCCTTATCAAAGCTGTTTTAGGTGTACAAATGGCCTCTCGTCAATTCTTTTACAGGCTCATGATGAAATCTGCCCTAAATTTCCACTGACTTGTGAGGGCTGTGGGAAGAAGAAGATTGCAAGAGAGAAGGTATTTGAACTAAGGATGTTAAATATTGGTTAACTGAATAGTCGATTAACCTCATGAATTTGTATCAGTTACTTGACTATATAGTCCCTGGCGGTAAGGCAGGCAGCCAGTGTGCTCCGGCCCCACTTCCAAGGAGCCATGTGCCACTCCGCACTCAGAGGCAGCAGCATGGGGGTGCCAGGCAGGAGCTGGTCTGCAAGGGGAGCCAGTTTAAAAATCAACTCCCCTCACTGACTGGCTGCTTGTCACCCCACACTGCTGCATCTGATACAGAGGCAGCAGCGCAGGGTGGCAGCAACAACTCTTTGGAGGGGGCGAGGTCTGAGCTCCAGAACCTGGCATGAGTCTGAACTGAGCTGGGCTGCCTGCCTGACTGGCTCCTAATACGCTTTAAATGCAGATCTGCAGCGGGGGTAGGGCCTGGACCTGGCGCAAACCAAAATTGAGCTGGCTGCTAGCCAGCCTGCTAAAAATTGTGCTGGTGGTGGTGGTGGGAATGCGTGTAGCTGATAGCATTACCCTTATAAGCTTTTACTTATCGGTTAATCAGTTACGCTATTACATCCCTAATTTGAACATTTTTGTTTAGAACATACATAAGAATGGCCATACTGGGTCAGACCAAAGGTCCATCTATCCCAGAATCCTCTCTGCCAACAGTGGCCAATACTAGATGCCCCAGAGGGAGGGATCACAACAGGTAATCCTCACATGATCCCTCCCCTGTCTCCTACTTCCTGAGAAACAGAGGCTAGGGACACCATTCCTACCCATCCTGGATAATAATCATTGATGGACTTCACCTCCATGAATCTATCTAGCTCTTTTTTGAGCCCTATTAAAATTCTAGCCTTCACCGCATCCTTTGGCAAGGAGTTCCTCAGACTGTGTGCTGAGTATAGAAAAACTTCCTTTTGTTTGTTTTAAACCTGCTGCCCATTAATTTCATTTGGTGACCCCTAGTTCTTAGATTGTGGGAATAAGTAAATATCAGACAAGATCACAAAGAGAAAACAGTTTCTTGCCACTTTAACCAGAAAGGACACTCTCTAAATGACTTAGCCACTTGCATTCTGCTACAAAGACCTTTTACATCTGCACTTGAAAGGGAATCCTCTGAACTGTCATTCATGTTAAAATTCGACACTTGCCAACAAGGACTTAACAAGAATTTGAACTATCTCACCCATTACCAAGACAGTTTCCCCAATTATCACCTGTAATACCATTAACTCACAAACATCCCACTCTCCCTACCTTTAATATCATCAATTCACAGACACTTACCTTCCTTCCTCTCCCCCCCCCCCCATCCCCCTTCCGTTCTGCAATGTGATTTGTCCTTTTCATATTTGTTCATTTTTTTAATTGTATCCTTTGGTATATATGGTTGTGACTACTTTCTTCCACTATTTGATCTGAGGAAGTGGGTCTGGCCCACGAAAGCTCATCATCTAATAAACCATCTTGTTAGTCTTTAAAGTGCTACATTGTCCTGCATTTTGCTTTAAGATGAAAGAATGAGGCTTATATTTGACATGTTTTTCCCTTTTCTGCAGTTTCAGGACCACGTGAACACTTGTGGAAAGTGTAAAGTGCTGTGCAGATTTCAGATAGTTGGCTGCACAGAGATGGTAAGGCTGGTTTCTTCATATTTATTTAGGGGCTTGTCTTCACTGCACTATTAGCTTTTGGTTAACCTGAGTGTTGCCTCCGTCCCCCCCGATCTAGATGGAGTGAACTGACACTAGCTGCCCTATAGGAAGAATTGGGGGATGAAGTTTGAGTGCTGCTAAAGTTCTAACTAAGCAGTGAGAATGCAACTTATGTCTGAGATTGTTTCTGTCCATTGTCCAGAGCTGGATGTATCAAGAAAATTAATTGAAGAGATTGTTTCCTCAGTGCAGAAAAATACTACGCAGCAGAATGCTAATATCCAGAGAAAGCAGACTCTCATGTTTCCAGAGAGAATGGTTCAGGGGTCTTCCTTATGGACTGTTTTGTGGTGAGGTATATCCAAGCTTCTGAGCTTGGAGGCTTGAAGGTTAACAGTCACTTCTGTGTCTGCATCTGGGTGTTTTGGGGAATGAAAGAGACATTGTTCAGTAAGCTCTCCAGGATGATGAATAGCAAACCCCCCAGGCTTAAAGTCAGCCAGCTACTGATGGATGCCAAATCACACTACTAGTCAGCCTGTGCAGACTATCAGTCAGTGCCCAAAGAGGCTTATCTCCCTGGGAATAGGACACATTTTTCATTATGGACCCTAACCTGCAAGCAGTCTGCACACAACCCTTCAGTTGACCCTACAAAATTGAAAATAATTTCAGCCAGTTCACTACATCGAGGTCCAGCAGCCTTACGGAGCTGAAAGTATGCTTTAAAGCAGTAAAGGAGACTTCCTAGATCAGGACCAGGATTGGTATTGGAGCTGGAACCCAGAGGAATGCTTTTGGCAGCTTTTTGCAGTATTGTAGCTGTGTGGTTGTTTCAGCTCTGCAGTAACATGTCATAGGCCACTGCTGCTAGCAAGTGCCAGAGGAGGTTGGTAATGCCTGAAGAGTAAGCCATGCTTGGGTGCATGTATGTAGGAGGAATGGGGCAGTCTTTCTGATGTGCATTCTTCAGACAGTGAAAATTAGGAGGCGTAGTAAACACCTCCATTCAGAGCATCCCAAAGGGCAGGTGTAATTCCTAAGTAGCTGGGAGCACGGTGTTATTACAGATATGATTTTATAGATATAGGACTCCCAATTCTGTATGGTGACTGGGCTTATGGTTAAAGCACAGGACAGAATATCATCAGACAAGCCGTTTCCCAGCTCTACTTATGACTTGCTTTGACAAGTTTCTTCCCCTCTTTGCAGCTGAAGGGTAAAAATAACACATACCCTCCGCAGAATTTCTAGAGGCTTCCTTCACTGTAATTTGTAAAGCACTTCTCAGGGATCCTTGGACTGAAGGGACTGTAGAAAGGGGGCAACTTTTGTAATAGCTGCAATGGGGTGAATTTTCAACATCTGTCATTGTTTAAGGTTAGAGTTTTCCTTTAACAAAATCTGCTTGCTGTTTGACAGTTTGTAACACTGTCTCTTTTTTTTTTTTTTTTTTTTGCATTACCCTTTGCTTTCATCACTTATAACCCAGAGGGGTTGAATTTGCCCTGTGGATCTCAGTGCCATAGTGGGAAGCTAACTTGCTGCGAATGGGAATGAGGGTTTCTTTTTCTGCAGGTGGAAAATGAAAAGCTTCTGGAGCATGAGAGCAAATGTGTGGGTGAGCATCTGTATATGTTGCTGGACTTTGTGCTCAAACTTAAGACTGAGTCTGAAGACTTCAAGCACCGCCCAACCCTTGCATCTATGCGGGACAGTTCCATGCTCTTAACAGCCGGCTCACTGTGCTCCGAATCTGAGCTGTCTGAGTCCTTGGAGCTGCAAAGGAGGTGTGAGGCCCTGGAGAGGAAGACAATCACATTTGAGAATATTGTGTGTGTGCTGAATCGGGAAGTGGAAAGGGTGTCTCTGACAGCTGAGGCATATAACCGGCAGCATCGGCTGGATCAGGAGAAAATTGAAATTCTCGGTAACAAGGTCTGTAAACTCTGGCTTTGGGCTTCTCATTCTTTGTGCTTTGAAAATCTTTCAAATCATTCATCTCTGTAATTAAAGTGTTTAGTTTTAGTGCAGCTGTCATGTGGGCAGGGATCTGTGAGCCAAACTAGGAGTATATTTGAGATGTTCTGAGGAAGAGCTCTCTAGACACGTACTCCTGTGACATGTACAGAAGAGGAAGCATTACAGCTTTCTGGATGCTGAAAGATTCCTTCTGTATTTGTATTGATCCCTGAGCTGGGTCTGCTCCCCATCCTTATCCTTGAGCAACTTGTATTTCTAAACAAGATGTGTTATGTATTCCACCAATCAGGTCCGGCAGCTGGAAAGGAGCATTGGACTGAAAGATCTGGCCATGGCTGATATGGAGCAAAAGATCCACGACATGGAAGCTTCCACCTATGATGGCGTTTTCATCTGGAAGATTACAGAGTTTGCCAGAAAACGTCAGGAGGCAATAGCTGGCCGTTGTCCTGCCATCTTCTCTCCAGGTTATCTAGAAATTAGCAAAATACTGCAAGGCTTTCTATGCTCCAGCTGTGCCCGGTCATTAGACTAATATTGAAATTGACACGTGACATGAGGTGGTTATTCAGAGATTGTTTCTTCCAAATTCTTTTCCTCATCCCCCAAGAATTCAGTAAAGACTAATTTTGTATAGTGAGATAAGTGAAAAGGCATTGCTGTAAGAGATTTCTGTTTTCGTGCATAAAGACGCCTTTTCCTTCTATAACAGGAAATGTAGCCCTCCTAGCCCCAGAAATAGCTCTGCAATAATCGCCCTTTTTACAAGGAGATGGTAAGCAAGGGAAGGAATCTAGATATCTAGAGTATAAAGTGGCAAAATTCTGTTACTACACAGGGATCAACAAATACAGGCAGTCCCCGGGTTACGTACGAGATAGGGACTATAGGTTTGTTCTTAAGTTGAATTTGTATGTAAGTCAGAACTGGCTCCAGATTCAGCCGCGGCTGGTGAAACTGACCAGGGGCTGACTACAGGAAGCTGGGCGGTCCCGCTGCCTGCGAGCTCCGGGGCGAGAGAGCCCCGTTCGTAAGTGCGGATCCGACATAAGTCGGATCCGCATAACTCGGGGACTGCCTGTATGCGGATCTCTAGTGAAACTCAGTCAGGTGCGCGCTCTTCAGGTAAAGTCAGCATGTTCACCTCAGCCACGCAGCATTCCATATCTTCTAAAGAGTCTCCAGATCACAACACATTGTGATGCCCCCCCTCACCTATGCTGGGGTCCCAGTGAGCCTGCCCATCTCACCAGCATGGGCTCCTTCACTCTGTCCTTTCTGTTCCAGGCCCTCAAGCCTGTTTACAGATACTAGCTGAGAAGCAACATCCTTCTAGGACTTCCTTGTTGCCATTCCTAGAACGTACAAAAGTTTCATCCAAGGGTTTACTATTATTAGCAATTTTTCTGTTACAATCTATAGATTGTGTATTATCAGCAAACGTATTACTGGGAGGTGCTTCCAAGTATGATTATCATACCACGCCTTTTGTTCAGTCAAATTCATTCAGAATTTATTGAATTTCCTAGGCCACAGTATGTGTGTAAATAGTCTCATCTTGCTTTAAAGAGACTGTTAGTTTTTACAAGTATATCAGGAACAACATTTTGCAAAATTGAGAGCTGGATTAGGCAACCTCTGCTACCTTTCTGTTTCCCAAGAAGTCAGTTTTGTGAATGCTCCTTTCCAAGAGGTCAGCTACCCCAGTGGTCTCCATCCTTTTTAAGCACAAGATCACTTTTTGAATTTAAATGCAACCCAAGATTTACCTCAAACCCAAATACCCTTACTCCACCTCCTTTGTGCCCCTTTTCTGAGGATTCATCCCTGCTCACTCCATCCTCCCTCCCTCTCCCGTCCTCCCTCACTTTCACCAGGTTGGGGAGAGGGTTGGGGTGCAGGCTCTGGTCTTGGATTAAGGGATTTGGAGTGCGAGAGGGGCTCTGAGCTGAGCTTGGGGCAGGCAGTTGGGGTGATGGAGGAGGTTCTAGGTGCAGACTCTGGGAGAGTGTTTGGATGCAGGAGAGTTTGGGGCTGGGGCAGAGGCTTGGGGTACAGAAGGGGGTTCATGACTGGGGTAGAATTTCAGGATGTGGGCTCCAACTGGGCACTGGTTACCTCAGGCTACTCCTGGATGGTGGTGCAGTGGGGCTAAGGCAGGTTCAAGCATGCCCTGGCCCTGCACCACTCTCAAAAGCAGCCACAAAACTCCCTCCATCCCAAGACCTGTTGTTTCCCCTCTCTGCTCTGTGGAGCAAGGTGATAGGCTGGGAGAGGGGAGTACCTTGACATTAGCACTCCTCTTCTCCCTCCCCTGCCCTGCCCAGCACACAGGAGGCTCCTGAGGGTGGGTGGAGGCAGCTCCAAGGCAAAGGGCAGGAGGTGCGCAGCAGTAGGGGGAGGGGCAGCTGAAGTGCAGGCACTTGACAGCCTCTTGGCCAAACCAGTCAGGATCAGCTCTGAGGCTCCAAGATCTACGTGTGGATCCCGATCTACTGGCTGGTGCCCACTGAGATACACTGTTCCTTTTTAAAACCTGAGCCACAGGTGGGGTGCTAGGAGCACAGATGCTGATCTAGCAAATACCTCCTGGGCAAACCTTGCCATGTAATCAGTGAGGAAATATTCCTGTGCCCCCCCATTCCTTCTTAGCTTCCTTCTCTGAGCCCTTGCCTAAGACACACAGCTCTAGTGTGGGCCCACAGCTAACTGCCAGAACAATTCTTTCACTGGTAATCACTGCTCAAAGACACCTGTGCTCTACCCTCCTCTCTCACCCCCGCCCCCCAGCTGTGTCAGGTATGCACTCCCATTCCCTGACCCCTCCCTCTCCGCACCCTCGTCCCAGCCTGCTCCAGCACGACCCTGCACCCTTTGAACCTTGATGTTCCCCCCTCTCTCTCCCTTCTGAGGCTGGAACATTAGTGGAGTATATTTTTTCCTAGTTTTCCCGTTTCTCAGTTGGGGGCTACATGTGTGAGGATTTTTTGTTTGTTACTTTTGTTTTTTGCTTCTGACTTGCATATGGCCCAGAACGATTTTTCTGTGGATCAGTGATCTCTGACCCAAAAAATGTTTCCCACCTTTGCTTTAACATGCTAGACTGAGATCTGTCCCTTTCTTAACAACTCCTCCCTGGCAGCCAGCAGCCTGGACAGTCATATAGTCAGTTAAAACATTTCCTTCCCCCAAGGAAATAGCCACCAGGCTGAACATAAGAATGGCCATACTGGGTCAGACCAAAGGTCCATCAGCCCATTATTCTGTCTTCTGACTGTGGCAGATGCCAGATGCCTCAGAGGGAATGAACAGAACAGGGAATCATCAAGTGATCCCTCTCCTGTCATCTATTTCCAGTCCCTGACAAACAGAGTTCTACATCATTTCTACCTATTTGGGCTAATAGGCAGGGCTTGACAAATAATGTAATCTATTCGCCCGTGGCGAGTAGATTACAACCCGGAAGAGCCGGCGCAGAACAATCTGCGCATGTGTAGAATGATCTGCGCATGCGCAGAACGCAGAACCGTGCGAAACTGCGTGGCTGGCGAGCCCTGCTAATAGGTATTGATGGCCCTAACCTCCATGAATTTATCCAGTTCTTTTTTGAACCCTGTTAAAGTCCTGGTCTTCACAACATCCTCTGGCAAGGAGTTCCACAGGTTGACTATGTGCTGTGTGAAGAAAAACTTCCTTTTGTTTGTTTTAAACCTGCTATCTAATAATTTCATTTTGTGATTCCCTAGTTCATATGGCAGGCATGTCCAAAGTCCGGCCCGCGGGCCAATTGCGGCCCGTGTTCCGGTTTAATACGGCCCCACAGGTAGTTTGGCAATATCTATCTTTTATGGCCCCCAACGAATCCATATGTATTGAGATGAATACATTGTAAAATCTCAGTTAATGTCAGTTGGTCTAAATCAGTTATAAATATATTTGGACACAACATGGATACTTGGTGTTATGTTCCTGTTCATATTTTTTGAACTTAAAAGTTGACAGACAACCTTTATTACCAATAATATGTAATGTACTTTACAATGTTCCTGACATATATTTCAGCTTCCTGGATTTTTTTTTCATCTGGCCTTCAGATATGAAAGGCAGAGTGATTTAACACCTGTTTAGATTTGTCATCCATGTGACGAAATGAAAAGTATGCCGTTTGCAATAAACTTTGCATAAAATAGTTAATTTGCATTTAATTTTAATGGTTCAAAGAATGTCAGGCAAAATGGTCGGCCCTCACGCATGTTCACTTCATCAAATCTGGCCCTCTTTGAAAAAAGTTTGGACACCCCTGGTATATAGCATTCCTTTGTATCAGGGAAGATCTAGAATTCAGAATGACCTTAGAAAAATCAATTAGCTGAATGTGATGAGATAAAGAATTCTCACTTTCCTCTGTTTATAGCATGTTCCTCCTCTAGATAGTCTTGAATGGAAAAACAATGTGGAACAACTTGGTATTCACATGTTCTTAGAGCTTTACAAAAATCTTCAGCATTATTCAGCAATCAAGTATAGCCGCCAACAATATCTTAATACTAGACAGTTTGGTACTTGAATACTAAAGTGAGTAACAGACCATAGATGTTGCATCTCATCTGTGTTTTTACAGTAAATAAAGCATGTATATCTTTAATCTGTCACTCTCCTCTTTACACTATATTAACATTTTCCCTTGTCTTCTATAAATCTAAGTCCAATAGAACTGTCAACCCTTTCTAAGGATTATTTTGAAGATGGACAGCTCTGACATTATGAATTAATTTTTTTTTATCAGCTTGTTTATCCAGTAAAACAAAAAATTGTTTATATTAGCATTGAAACAAGCTATGTTAGAATCAAAACCCTGCTGGAAAATATACATAATCCAATTCAGTCCCTACATTTTTCAGAATTAAAAAAACTTAAAATTAGTCTCAGCGCCATTTTGTTGGCTAGTCGCCTAATTTTGTGAGGGCCTTTTGAAGCTCTTCATAGGCTGCTTTGTTCTTAACTACCTTGAGCAGTTTAGTATCATCTGCAAATTTTGCCACCTCACTGTTTACCTCTTTCTCCAGATCATTTATTAAATAGTTTAAATAGGATTGGTCCCAGGACAGACCCTTGGGGGACACCACTAGTTACCACTCTCCATTCTGAAAACTGACCGTTTATTCCTACCCTTTGTTTCCTGTCTTTTAACTAATTATCAGTCCATGAGAGGACTTTCCCTCTTATCCCATGACAACTAGCTTTACTTAAGGGCCTTTGGTGAGGGACCTTGTTTAAGGCTTTCTGGAAATCTAAGTAGATTATATCCATTGTAAGAACTGGTCTCACCCACCACCCAACCATAGTAGCAATCTTCCATTTCCCCAGAAGTTTCTGTGACTACTTTCTGCAGCCTGAGTTTCAGCGCCAGATTCCTTCTTGCACCTGACAGACCCCCAGACAGTCTGAGCCACACTGAAAAGGTCAT